AAGAATATCCCGAATGGGGTCATGAAGAATCAGACCCTACTGAAATGACTCAACAACAACAACAAACCGCAACAAATGATTTGGATGCCCTGGAGGATCTGAGTCAGAGTTCCATCACTACTACTTGTCATCTGTTTGGCCTGTGGTAAGTTGCTCAGCTTCTCATAAAATGGAGACACTAACACTATTGGGGGGTTAACAAAGCCCACCCAATCCTGCCTACCTTCCAGGGCTGTTCTGAGCCCAAATGGAATCATGTATCCAGAGCACTTTGTCAGCCTCGGAGCGCCGTGGGAGTATCAGCTCCTATCACGATTTGGTTTGGTTTAAAGGACTGAAGACACGTGAATGATGGCACTGTGTTGTGACTTTTCATCTTACAGAGTTTAAACATCTTCCAGAATCTCAATAAGCGCCAATATGAAACGGTTATTCATCTCTTTGAAGTGGCAATAATAGCAACTGACCTGGCTTTATATTTCAAGTAAGTCCTTAGGTCTCCCCAAGTTTCCCTGCGCATCTCCCTGAGACTAAGCCGTGTTTTGCACTTGGAGTTTTTTCTTCCCTGAGATGTTTGCAGGGCTGATGTTTATAAGGTCATTATTCTGAAGCAAATAGAGCGTTCATTTTCCTCCTGAGCTCTCAGTAAGTATCCCTTTCTGCTCCGGGACAGCCCTAAATTGTCGCCAAAATCTGCCCTCTGCGGCCAAACCAGACAGACCTAATCTCTCTTCCATGAGACAAATCTTTACATAGTTAAAGATAGTTTTCATGTGCACCTAGTCTTTGTAAAGCATAATCTCCAGTCCAAAAAGGTATGGAAATCCAGCTTGGCCCTGAATACACAAAACAAGGTTTCCTATTTTTTTAATGTTCTATCCCGAAAAATAAAGAACAGGTCCCACTCCTCAACACTGGCCCCAGCCCACCCCAAATATCTTTTCCCTTTTTGTAGCTTCTAAAACCTGCTTAAAACCAGCTAAAATTATGGGCATTTAACCCAACGTCCATGAACGTGTTCTTTTAAAATTTTCAAAACTAAATTTCAATATAGTTGGTTTCCTAAGTAATCCCATGTATTCATTTTATGCATTTAAAAGTATTATTCTAAGAAGGAGTTCATAGGCTTCACCAGACTCCAAAGGGGTCCATGACATACAAAAGGATAAGAGCCCCGCATCTAAACTTTCCCCAGAAGAGGCAAAATCAAATGTGTAAGCAGAGCTGTGGAAGTAAGGGCCACACTGGACCAGATGCTGAGACCACCAGACTGGAACACAAGGTTGCATTTTGAGAATAATGGGTGAAACTTTCCATCAGCTCCGAGAAAGCTTAATTTTCTCCTTCAGTCCGCTAAGGGACTGACTTAATATGGCAAAAACCAAATGTTCCAAAACCCCAGCACAGGCAGGATGGCACCAAATATCTCTTGACTCTTTCATCAGGCCACTGATCCCTTCCTGGGCCAAAGCAGGTAAAAACGATGTCCTTGGCTCTTCTCTTAGTGCCTGTTCTGTTGAACGTCTGGCTAGATGAAGGGAAGTGGCTAGGAGCACCCTCGGTGGTGACTAGCAAATGGTAATCTTTAACCCACTTACCTTAGGAAGAGGTAGGCCATTTAGGAGCAATATGGTAGACTGATAGGTTACATGGCAAAATCACCACCTGGATACACATACTATGAGCTAACAGACTATTCCTTCACTCAACAAACGTTTATTTAGTGCCTACTGTGTATTGTGCCAGGTTCTAGGGAAGATTTAAAGTTTCAGTAAGATACTTATCCTGCCCTCATGAAGTTTTCGGCCTACTAGAGGACACGCACGCACGTCAGTATAATACATGACATTACGTGATAGGAGAGCTAAGACAGAGCCGTGTGAAATCTGATAGGGATGTTAGTGACAATGATATTTTGCATCCTGACACTTTGCTCTAAATTTACATGGTATGTTTTCCTACTTTACTAGCCCTATAATGCTACCCCACCCATGTCACAAATCTCCAGCCACTCCTCATCTTTAAACTCTCCTTTAAACTTATCTTTCTCTTAGATCCTCTTTTCCTTGTGAGGGCCTCCAAGGATTTGAAATTTCTTCCCATCCATGGACATCCCAGTGCTAAGGTTATATATGGGGCAGCTAGGTGGCGCAGTGGATAGAGCACCAGGTCTGCAATGAGGAAGACCTGAGTTCAAATCCAGACTGACACTCACTAGCTGTGTGACCCTGGGCAAGTCACTTAACCTCTCTTTGCCTCAGTTTCCTTGGCTGTAAAATGGGGATAATAATAGTATCTTCCTCCCAGGGCTGTCATGAGGATCAAAGGAGATAATAATTGCAAAGTGTTTAGCATGGTGCCTAACACATAGTAAACATTATATATATGTTAGCTATTATTACTACCTATTATTATATATGTGACTGTGAAGTCTGATGCTCAGACCTGTTTATCCCAGTTATCATACCTACACATTTGTGTCTTTTGCAGGAAAAGAACCATGTTTCAGAAGATTATTGACACTTGTGAAAAAATGGAAACTGAGGAGGAGGTCATTAAGTACATATCCATTGACCCAACCAAAAAAGAGGTTATCATGTAGGTGGCTGGTCTTTAATTCCAAACTGTTATATACAGATCTACATTTTCCATGATTTTACTTAGCCCTCCTTTGTTTTGTTCACAAAGGGCAATGATGATGACAGGTTGTGACCTCTCGGCTATAACCAAGCCTTGGGAGATTCAAAGCCAGGTGAGTCTGATTCTCTTCCTCTAGTCTTTTCTGTGACAGTTGGCTACAGCCCAGGTCTTATCTAAGGGGATCTGACCATTCCATCCAATTTTTACCACACTTGTCTTTTTTGAGGATTATACAGATAATTACCCTTCACCTAGCTAAGTTTGTCTCTTCAGTCAAGAAGAAGAAGAGGGAGACAAATAGGTAAGATCTAGTTAGAAAGAAGATATCTTTCTCTATCGTGCCTCCATGACTACAAAATGTGAAAGAGCATTGAGGTGGTTTCAAGCACCAGGGAGATGACTGGTCATCAGGTCAGATCCTGCCCAAGGCAAATAGGAGGGGAGGTTGGTTTCCCTGGGTTACCCAACTAACAATCATAAAAGCTTATCTGAAAGCATTACCAATGGTGGAACACACTGTAAAAGTGGATTTGAAATTCGATCAGGGAATTTCAGAGTTGTTTGGGAGGAGCAGTTACATTGGGCCAAGAGGAGACAGAGATAGAAAGCAGTACTTTCCCCCAAACTATTTCTCAGAATCAGAGCCAGAACGCACCTCTGGGTTCCCTTAGGTCCAATCTCTTATTTTACAAAACAAGAGAACTAAAGAACAGTACAAGATCACCTAGTTGCTTAGTAACCGAGTTAAGTCAAAAACCCAAGTCTCCTGATTCCCAGGAGGCCTTTTTATTTTCCATTGTACCACTGATGAAGATGATAATGATGAATGAAAACGCATTTATTAAGCATTCTGTTTGGCATTCACAGCCCTTCATATCCTAGCCCCCTCCTACATTTCCAGTCTGCTTACATCTTACTCTCCAGCATATATATATATATATATATATATATTTTTTTTTTTGGTGGGNCTAGCCCCCTCCTACATTTCCAGTCTGCTTACATCTTACTCTCCAGCATATATATATATATTTTTTTTTTTGGTGGGGCATTCAGAGTTAAGTGACTTGCCCAGGGTCACACAGCTAGTAAGTGTCAAGTGTCTGAGGTCGGATTTGAACTCAGGTCCTCGTGACTCCAAGGCCGGAGCTTTATTCACTTCACCATCTAGCTGCCCCCCCTCCCCAGAATATACTTTTCAATCCAGTGACACAATCTGGGCCTCCTGGCTAGTCCGGGAATAAGACACTCCATCCCTCAGCTCTGGGCATTCTCCTTGGCTGTCCCCTAACCCTGGAACACTTTCCTTCCTCAACTCTACCTGTTCCAACTAAAATATCATCTTTCACAGGAAGGCTTTCCCAACCCCTTTTAATTCCAGTGCCTTCCCACTCTGTTAACTATTTAATTATTTATTATTTATTAATTATTATTTTACAAATAATTATTTTAATTGATTATTTATATTATATTTATACAAAATAAAAATGTATACTTATATTTTATTATGTATTATATTGGCATATATTATAATTTACATATAATATATTGACATAATTTAATTTAATAAATAATTATGTAATTATTAATTAGTTATTTATCCTGCATATAACTTCTTTGTACATATTTTTTTTGCTTGTCTCCCCCGTTAGATTGTAAGCTCCTTGAGGGCAAGGACTAGCTTTTGCCTCTTTTTGTATCCCTGGCCCTTAGCACACAGTGCCTGGCACACAGTAGGTGCTTAATAAATGTTTATTGATTGATTGATTAAGCACTTACTATGTCCCAAGAACTGTGCTAATCACTTGAGATACAAATAGAAAACTTGAGACAGCTCCTTCTTTAAAGGAGCTCACACTTTAACTGGGGGAGACAACATGTAAAAGAAAGTTCAGCTGCAGGGTAAACGGTAAGGCCTGGAGGCTTTCCATCTCACATGAAGGAATAGAGTTGGTGACTCCCATCTCATCCAAGCCATGTGAATAGTTAGACAGCCCAGATGGGTTTGGGGAGGTCAGGGGTTAGGGGACAGGGAAGGGAGGGAGTCTGTTCTTAGTGTGGGGGCAGGTCTTCACTTTAAGGTTTGTAAAGTATTAGCCCTGTGAGGTGAGTACTATTAGTACTATTATATAGCTATTATTATATTATTTATTATATTATATATTTATATTTATTATTAATTATACTATTATATTATTTATTATATTATATTATATTATCATATACCTATTAGGTCTATTTTACTGATGAAGACACAGNATATTATATATTTATATTTATTATTAATTATACTATTATATTATTTATTATATTATATTATCATATACCTATTAGGTCTATTTTACTGATGAAGACACAT